TAATAATAATGAATTTGCATAAATTCTAATAAAACCTACCCTTAAAAATGATAACATACCCTTGACCATCGACATTTCAATGCTGACCATTCAGCATTGCTTGTTCTTCTTGTTAAACCTGTTTGACACCTGAAAACAAATAAAAATGAATATATGGTCTTAGACCATAATTTAATAAAAATATTAATGATTAAAAATTTCAGGAATAAAATTTTGATAATAAAATTCTAACGAAATAATCCGAAAGAAAATATATACATATATATTTATATACATCCACTCTTATATAACCAAGAATAAATGAATAATAAATTTTTAACAAATAAAATATTCACTTATAATAAGCTAGTAAAGAAATTTAACCAAATACTAGCGGCCCACGACACAAATAATAATTTAAATTGATCTTACCTAAAAATCGAATAGGAATACCTATATGACGAAGTCACGTGACCCCCTCCTAAATACCTGAAAAATTAATATAAAATAATATTTGGTCATAAGAATAATAATTTTTAGCAGAAAGCTGCCAATATTTTATAAAATTGCAAAACATTAAGTATAACGTAATGGATAACATCTATATGCTTAAGGCATATACACATGAGCCAATGAAAAGAAAGAAAAACTAATTAACATAAAGGGACCAAAATAACAGAAAATTTAGATTAAAATAACTTAAAAATCAGAATAAGACCAATGGACACCATCAAAAATCAACTACGAACATTTACGATCATACTCTCTTATACATGAATGCATGTACCAAGCCTTATAAAATATTAACACTTTATATTAAAAAATTTCACTTATAACAATTCCCCTTTTTCAAGTACACTAATGACAAAAATTCATAATATCAAACCCTATAAGTATATTTATATCAAAACATTACTTACTAGTAAGTCTTCGTATGATGAAATTATATGGACACCCTATATTCGTGTTCCTATTCAACGGGCGGCCCCCTGGCAAAAGTATCACCTGAATTAATAAAATAATAACATTAAAGACGGGCACCTATAACTACCATAAACATAAAATGTATGTACACAATTGCAAAATGCATGCACATTTGCATATGAGCACTCTTATACGTATATCTATATATATATATATATATATATATATATATATATATATATATATATATATCCACGTGCATATGAACATATGCAAATTTAATAATGCAAGACCAAAATCTTCCAAGAAATGAATAGAGCCCAGGTGCATAATGTGTAAAATGACACTCAAAACATAGAATCAAAATTCAAAAATTTTATTAAATAAAAATAAAGAATTATAACAATGAATATAATATCAGCAACCTCTTACTATGCATAATATACATATACCATTAAGTCAAGGAAAATGAAACGTGAAAACACGAGAAAGATAGAGAAATAATATGTGTACTTACGAATAATATTGCACAAAGAATATTATGCGTGTAACTCTACGAGTCGAACAAGCGTGCAAGGCCAAGTCCAGCACATCGCGTTATCTCCATTGGAATTTTTTAACATCCTCGCCCGACCTAAAGGCAGAGGGAAGATCTAAATTCGCGCTCGCATGAGTGCGTACTAAATTAATACATCGACTTTTCTTTTATAACTAAGCATTAACGAAATATTTTCCATTAATATTATACTATTATCAAGCATCATACACATATATATACACATATACGTGGCTATATGAACTGAATACATGTATACATACGCATATATATTTTATAGTGAAATTCAATAAAATAAAAGTAGAAATGTAATAAATAATCGTCACGACGAAAATTGACATACAAAAATATACACCTTTATATATATATGCATACTATATGTGACATGTGAACTGAATACATGTATACATACGCATATATATTTTATAATAAAATTCAATAAAATAAAAGTAGAAATGTAATAAATAATCGTCACGACGAAAATTGACATATATTAACATACAAAAATATACACCTTTATATATATATGCATACTATATGTGACATGTGAACTGAATACATGTATACATACGCATATATATTTTATAACGAAATTCAATAAAATAAAAGTAGAAATGTAATAAATAATCGTCACGACGAAAATTGACATATATTAACATACAAAAATATACACCTTTATATATATATGCATACTATATGTGACATGTGAAATAATAAGTATACCCATATGCATACATATTTTGCAACAAAATTTAATAAAATAAAGGTAGAGATATAATAAACAACCGCCGCGACAAAATTAACATATATCAGCGCACGAAAATATATATATATATATATACAGGGTCTACCAAAAGTGTGGAAACCCCTAAATATCTCGGAAAATATACGTTTTACAGAAAAGTGTTTCCAACAAAAGTTGTAGGGTTTAAGAAGATCTATATACTGATTCTATCAGTTTGACCTTGGATGGCGTCGTCAAGGTCAGGTCAAGGTCACATTGACTTTTTTAAATGACACCCCCTACATTTGATTGCATATTCTTATAGCTTAATTCAAGAGCTTTCCAAAACACTATAATAATGTTCATTTTTATTAAGTACTTTGCGAGTTATGAGGGTTGAATGATAGAGTAGCGCCGGTATTAACATTATCCAAGGTGTACTACATGGAGGTTACTCGCTCGGATTTGCATCTGTTGTGTGTGTGATCCAGCTAACTAAGGCAAGATCGATTCCTCAACATATCCTCATATTTCGCTGAAGTCAAATTGCCAAAAAATTGCTCCATAAAACGTGTATGAAACGTCTCGTTAGTTCCTTCATTTACCGCTATGTGACGCACTACATGCAGTCTAACTCGCATTTAAAATTCAACTAAGAATGTATAAAGCTATCAAAGAACGAGCACCTTCTAACTTCAGCTTTGAGCAAGCAGAAATTAATTGTTATCGTCCAAATACAACGTACGATTAATTAAAATTAAACGTTTTAAAAATGGCTGGCGACTTGTCGGAACGTGAAAGAATCACTATCCTCATGATGCGTGGATGGGGTGATAACGAAAGATCGTTCTCTGATGTCGTTCGATTATTTAATGACACGTATCCGAACCGTCGAATTAATAAGTCCACTGTGTTAAAAACAATAGAACGTTTTAGACAAACTGGTAGCGTAAGAAATCGCTCTAAGTCAGGAAGACCATTGTCTGCAACCAACGAAGAAAAACAACTTGATGTTCTGCAGACATTTATTGAAGATCCCAATTCTAGTGTTCAGAGAGTCGCTCAAACTCACGATATTGCTCCCATGTCGGTTTGGAGAATTTTAAAGAAGAACAAGTTCCATCCATATAAATTGCAATACGTTCAAGAATTGCAAAACGGAGATGAGGAGCGTCGTATACATTTCTGTGAAAGAATGATGGCACTAATAGATGTCCGGCCCATCTTCCCTTATCAAATTGTTTTCACAGACGAGGCAACTTTTACCTTAACGGGAGAAGTTAATAATCAAAATTTTCGTTTCTGATCAGATGAGAATCCGAATTGGGTGCGGGAAACTCACACACAACATCCACAAAAAATAAATGTATGGTGCGGAATAATAGATGGCTATTTAATAGGGCCGTTTTTTTTGAAGAATATTTGAACGCTCAAAGGTATGAGAGATTACTTGTTGATCAAATAATTCCAGCCATACAGAATACTTTTCCAAATAATTTCCAAGAAATATGGTTTCAGCATGATGGAGCTCCTGCTCATTTTGGTGCAGGACCACGTCGTATTTTAAATGAGACTTTTCCGCTACGGTGGATAGGAAGAAGGAACGGAAATGAGGGAGGAGAGGATTGGCCACCTCGGTCACCAGATCTAACTCCTCTTGATTATTATCTATGGGGATATCTGAAGAGTAAGGTTTACAGAACAAAACCTAAAACCATTCACGAATTGATACAGCGAATAAGGGATGAAATGGCTTTGATACCTTTTGAAACGAATCGTAAAGTCATTTCTACATTCTACCAAAGATTAGCATATTGTCAGGAAGTAAATGGCAGCCACTTTCAGCATTTACTTTAACACATTGAAACACATTTGCAATCGTTTGGTGCAACCTAACCTGATCTCTGTATACACGCACCGCACGCACGCACACGCACACATTTCGAACAATTATTATGATAAATGAGCATCCACAAATTTATTTACTGTTTACTATGTCGATTGCTTTCCAGGTCTTTAAATGCTCGATTGTAATTTGGTTGGGTCTTTGCTTTTGCTGACTGGATCCACGACCGATCTTGCCTTAGTTAGCTGGATCACACACACAACAGATGCAAATCCGAGCGAGTAACCTCCATGTAGTACACCTTGGATAATGTTAATACCGGCGCTACTCTATCATTCAACCCTCATAACTCGCAAAGTACTTAATAAAAATGAACATTATTATAGTGTTTTGGAAAGCTCTTGAATTAAGCTATAAGAATATGCAATCAAATGTAGGGGGTGTCATTTAAAAAAGTCAATGTGACCTTGACCTGACCTTGACGACGCCATCCAAGGTCAAACTGATAGAATCAGTATATAGATCTTCTTAAACCCTACAACTTTTGTTGGAAACACTTTTCTGTAAAACGTATATTTTCCGAGATATTTAGGGGTTTCCACACTTTTGGTAGACCCTGTATATTACGAATTTTAACAAATAATTAATAATATTAATAATCCCATGATTTTATACAATAATTATTAACCTTATACGATGATTATTAAATATGATTCAGTAACTGTGCGTTATAAGTTGCCAAAATCAACTTTCACAAGCAACATATAAATATATACAGGATTTGTCCGGAAAGTAATAGGACTGATTTTCTTCCGCCGCGACTGTACTTCGGAGCGTGCACGCGCCGACTGGATTCGGTAGAGGGCGTTCCTAGCTAACGAACGAGCGGCTGGTCGGTTGTCTCCGAGCACCTGGAGAGTCAGGACAGGCATTTTCGCGCGACGTGTTTCTGTGAGTGGTGCAAGCCGAAAATGCAGCGTTCGTTAGAGCAGAGGTACGCGATTAAATTCTGTGTGAAACTCGTTAAATCTGCGACAGAGACGTTTGATATGATCAAGCAGGCTTACCCAGATGTTGCTTTAGCAAGAAGTGGTGTGTTTCGGTGGCACCAGGCCTTTTTGGAGGGCCGGGAAGAGGTCGCCGATGAAGACCGTGCTGGAAGACCTTCGACTTCGACAAACACCGACAATGTGACTCGTGTGCGCAAAGTTTTGAACTCAGACCGTCGACTAAGTATTCGTTTAATTGCCCAGATGTTAAATTTACCAAAATCTGTGGTTCATGACATTGTGACGGTGCATTTGAACATGCGCAAGGTGTGCGCGAAGATGGTCCCAAAAGTGCTCACTGACGACCAGAAATTGCGGCGAGTGGAAGTGTGCCAAGAAAATTTGAACATGTGTGAAAGTGACCCCCAATTTTTGAATAACGTAATCACAGGTGACGAGTCCTGGATCTTTGAGTATGATCCCGAGACAAAGAGGCAATCTTCCGAGTGGCACACGCCGGCGTCTCCTCGCCCAAAAAAGGGAAGAATGAGCAAATCGAAAGTGAAAACGATGCTCATTGTCTTTTTTGACATCAAAGGCATCGTCCACCATGAATTTGTTCCTCCTGGACAAACCGTCAACGCCAAGTTTTACGTGGAAGTGCTCAAGAGACTCAAACGAAGGGTCAATCGGGTCCGACAAGACATTGCAGCCGACTGGAAGTTGCACCACGACAACGCCCCGGCTCACACCGCCTTTCTTGTGAACAGCTACCTGACCAAGACCGGCATTCCAACGCTTCCGCAGCCGCCCTACAGCCCAGATGTGGCCCCCCCGGACTTTTTTTTGTTTCCTCGCCTGAAAAGGCCGATGAAAGGCAAGCATTTTGAGACGATAGAGGGGATCCAAGCATGCACCGCGGCTCTCAAGGCTATTCCGGAGAATGCCTACCGTGACGCCTTCAATGCTTGGAAATCGCGCTGGCAGCGCTGCATCGACGCAGAAGGAGCCTATTTTGAAAGTTTTTAAAGAATTGTAACAATTGGCTCAATAAATTTTTTTAAATCGACTCAGTCCTATTACTTTCCGGACAAACCCTGTATATACAGGGTGTTCCATTTTAATCCATCCAGTCGAATATCCCGAAAACCAAGTCCGAAAGAGAAAAATGTTTCAGACAAAAGTTGTATGGTTTCAAGGGTGCCATAAGAGGGTACCATTGGTTTGACCCTGAAGAGTCATTTGAAGGTCATGCAAAGGTTACTTTGATTTTTTTAAATCGAACATCTTATATATTTTTGCATATTTTTGTAGCTCATCTCGAGAGCTTTCCAAAGCACTATAATAAAGTATTTCTTCATCGAGCACTTTTCAAGTTATGAGACTTGAAATAATTTCTTAATTTTACATAAACCATAAAATATCTAGTAAAATATTCATTTTTCGATTATCTTACCTTAATACTTTTATGTACAAAATAATAAGAGAAATCAATTGGTGTAAAGAAAAAACATAGTTATTTTTAAGAAAAAATATGTAATTTGCAATTAACAATTACATTTTTTTTTTAAAACAACTGTATGTTTTCTTTAGATCAATTGATTCCTTTCATTATTTTGTACATAAAAGTATTAAGGTAAGATAATCGAAAAATGAATATTTTACTAGATATTTTATGGTTCATGTAAAATTAAGAAATTATTTCAAGTCTCATAACTTGAAAAGTGCTCGATGAAGAAATACTTTATTATAGTGCTTTGGAAAGCTCTCGAGATGAGCTACAAGAATATGCAAAAATATATAGGGTGTTCGATTTAAAAAAATCAAAGTAACCTTTGCATGACCTTCAAATGACTCCTCAGGGTCAAACCAATGGTACCTTCTTATGGCACCCTTGAAACCATACAACTTTTGTCTGAAACATTTTTCTCTTTCGAGCTTGGTTTTCGAGATATTCGATGGATTAAAATGGGACACCCTGTATATACGTGCTAATATAAAAGTCGCCCAAACAAAATTCTTCAAAGAATAAAACATTGTCAGAATCAAAAGACCTCTTGAATAAAAGATCACTGTAGAGCGTGCAATGAATTCCTTGAGCACATCCGTCGTAATCATTCCCAGAAGTAAAACAAGCCGCTTTTTCATACGTTGTTCCGAGAACTGTAAGAATACAATTTCTTTTAGCGATATAATAACTATTAAGCAGAGCGATAACTAATTTCCATATACTTATATATACATATATTCTTATTGTAAAATCTATTGTAATGATAATGGCTTAACGCATTAGAATTTATTAAAATATTATTCGTAGACTTATGTAATCATTAAAGGTCGACTTTGAAAATTTTAAAATATATACATATAACATTACAAAAATTCTAATTGTTAAAGCCTTTATTAAATGAATAAAAATATATCTTGTAAATGATAAACCTCGATAATTAGTCTTACGATAATTATTAAATCTAGAAATATTACGTGTAATATGTCAGTTTAAGCCACGTAAACGAATTTAAAAAAATAATTCATTAAAAATATTACTATTACCAACATGTCTTATAAAGAGAAAGAATGCGGTGAGCAATTCTTAGAAGGACATCCAGCATATCTATTCTTAGAAAAGAGATAAGCCATCTTCGTATCCGTTGCTTTAGCACCTGCAAAGAAAAATCTCTTATAGCAATCCAAATGCTAACTTCTTCTTTACTAATTATTACTAATTTTAACAATATATGTACCATTGTAAAAATCATTGTAATAATAATGGTTTAATACATCAGAATTTATCAAAATATCACTTAGAATTCATACAATTGTTATAACTCGAACTCAAATTTTCAAATGACATAAATATTATATTGTAAAAATTCTGATTGTTAAAAAAATCATTATTAAAAATTATTCTTATAAAAGAATTTAATAAGTCTAAGACTCAAGACTCGCAACCCCCACCATAAGACTCTCACCCACCACCTCGCAATACTCATAACAGGATGGGACAGCTTCAGCAGCCGACCCACCAATCTCCGAAGAGGCCCACCTCCTCTCCCCACCATTAAATGTCAAACCAGAGGAGGGGACCTAAGGCACCTCAGGCGTCGAGTCTCAGTTCTCCATGCCATTAGATCTCCAGCTCTTGAAGAGAAAAAACCTAGAAGCCTACCGGACACCTTAGCATATTCGAAAATAACTTAGACGCGATTTCGACTTTTTCTTTCGAGACTTAGTCTCAATCTCTAACAAGAGAGTTGTATCAACACCAACACCGTAATAAAGTGCTACCACCCAGCAACCTCTGAGTCTTTGGCCATTTTCTGCGCTGCCTTGCCATTTCTTCAGGTTCTCACCGAGGTCGAGCAATCCAGGGAAGGAGCAGCGGTGCTTTTATCCACCCACGAATCCCGTCATCCGGTAAGGAAATAATTGAATAATAATTATTCTTAATCAACCTTGACAATAACTTCATATATTAGCTTGATTTATTCTTGATATATTGACGATTTTCCTTGAATCTTACCTGTCCGTATACAGATTTTAAATTTTTTTTTGAGTTGAATAATTTAAAATTCAACCGATCCTCTGAGAACGCTCGAAGCGTATTCTAGAGTGTAGCGTCGTTCGAGTCAGTTACTCGATGTGCATTGGGTAGCAAACTCTACTCCTCTGCCGCTTTCACGGAGAGCTTCTCTGGAAGAATTTCTCCGTGGACCCTGTGCCGCTGTGACGTGACGTCTTGCACATCGATACTAGACTCAGAATTTAAGACTCGCTCCTAGAGGACCTGTCGAAATAATAAAATTTATGCACTGGCTTACAAGTTAATTATCAGAACATTTTATGAATTTTATACTTATCTGAAGTAAGCCAGCCGCTCTTATTCGTATCCTTGTCTGTATCCCTGAATCTCCAGTCCTCTCGGTGCAGCAGCAGGCTCCTGGAAATTCAAAATATATTCAATAAATTATTATTCGATGTACCCTAATGACCTGTATATCGCTGAACATTTCAGCCATTGTGTGTGAATGATAGAGATATACTACCATTATCAATATTCGTGTATCTCACAATAATCCATTAATCTGTATTATCAGTCTTAACTCTATGAATCACCTTGTTGTGACTACATTTACCTCATATAACCATTCATCTTAACAGGTGCCTTTCTACGCATCATCGTAAGTAAACCCCCTTTTTGATGTTAAATTAATCGCATTGAACATACTAAATGGTCATATTCCCTCGGTAGATGGTTAACCCCCGCCGAACTTCTTCCGTCGGACGCGAAATTCCCCTCCGTGCCGCGGGTATACGCCGCCACCGTGCCTCACGGTCGATACCTAGGCTCCCTATAGCTCGTCAGTTGTTTGCCGACGAGAACAGTTTAATGAGCAGAGTGACGAGATACTCCCCAATACATAGTTTCGCTGCCTCCCGCGCATACCCTTATCGTCCTCCCCGAAACCCTCCAGCGGTTCTTCACGAGGAACAACTGCCCAGAGCCAGGCCGCCATCGCCCAACTACTCCCCCATCCAGGATTCATCCAATCCTAGTTATTCACCAGTCCGGACACAGGAAGATCTCCCCCCCATACCGGAAGAACAAAGACCCATAGAACGAGGAACAGAAACGGAGACTGGTCCATCCAACCAAGGCCAAGTTCAGGATCATCCTGAACCAAATTTCTACCCGGATAGAGAACCAGAGGGCCTGGTCGCACCAAGCAACATCCAACCCCTCGCCGGATTAACGGATGAAGATTTTATCGAGATTTACGAATACTTGCAGCGGGATAATTTCTTCAATAATCTCTGAAAGAAACAACATTACGATGTTATAATGAATAATAACCACATTTAAATATCGTCTTAGAACTGCTGTAGAGAGAACATTATCTACATACATATATATATATATATATATATATATATATATATATATATATACTCCTGAAAGAAGCGTGAAAGATTCTTAATCTCTCGGCGTCCCGGGGTATAGCCGGCCTAACAGGTTGCCCTGAAAAAGAAATAGAGAGAAGTTACGATTACGTAACAAATAAATACGTGAGAAGTTACGATCGAGACGTAACAATAAATTCAAACGTAACACTGGTCAGTTCAGTACATCGCATCATCGCATGCTATTGTTACGTTTGAATTTATTGTTACGTCTCGATCGTAACTTCTCACGTATTTATTTGTTACGTAATAGTAACTTCTCTCTATTTCTTTTTCAGGGCAACCTGCTAGGCCGGCTATACCCTGGGACGCCGAGAGATTAAGAATCTTTCACGCTTCTTCTAGGAGTAGGATTAATGACTGGAAATAAATTTTAGGTGCATAGAACCTGACCCAATTTGTCCTTTTGATCTGTTCTTTTTTATTATATCATCTCCTTAAAGCTTTACAAATTTTTATTATTATCATTATTATTCGACAGGTATAGGTAACGTTTATCGTTATACGTATATATATATATATATGTGTATATGTATGTATATAATGTTCTCTCTACAACATTTCAAAATGATATTTAAATGTGGTTATTATTTGTTATAACATCGCAATATTGTTTCTTTCAGAGATTATTGAAGAAATTATCCCGCTGCAGGTATTCGTAAATTTCGATAAAATCTTCATCTGTTAATCCTGCGAGGGGTTGGATGTTGCTTGGTAAGATCAGGCCCTCTGGTTCTCTATCCGGGTAGAAATTTGGTTCAGGATGATCTTGAACTTGGCCTTGGTTGGATGGACCAACCTCCGTTTCTGTTCTTCGTTCTATGTGTCCTTGTTCTTCCGGTATGGGGGGCAGATCTTCTGATGTCCGGACTGGCGAATAACTAGGACCGGACGAATCCTGGATGGGGGAGTAGTTGGGCGTTGGCGGCCTGGCTCTGGGCAGTTGTTCCTCGTGAAAAACCGCTGGAAGGTTTCGGGGAGGACGATAAGGGTATGCAGCGAAACTATGTGCTGGGGAGTACTTAGTTACTCTGTTCACTAAACTGTTCTCGTCGGCAAACAGTTGA